TGATCACCATGATCTGAGTGAGTGTGCATCTGCTGGACTTAAAACCTAAGACTGGAGACTTTTGCTCTGATATCTGAACTTAGCATGCAGAGGGAATATCTGTCATGATCCTGTCATGTTTAAGTGTGTTTGCAGTGCTTAGAATTAATCTAGAACTGTTTGTTCTGAATTAATTATATCTATTGGTGTGATTAGCATCAAGAGTTGTGGTTTTCTTGATTAAGAACCTATAGAGAAAAATTTTATTGAGTGATTTGAGTAAATAAAGAATTGACTAGGACAGAAGCATGTGGACATTCTTTATTTCTCCCCTTGGACTGCTTAACTCTCACCTTTTTTCCATCCCAACATAGATACCTGTTCTTACGGAAAGTTAAGCAGCATTGCCTCAGAATCAGAACTTTGGAACCTTTAGATAAAATGGCTCCTAACCTAAAATGGTGATTCCAATGCCAATATTGATCTGATTCTAATACAAGGATGTCAGTCATTTCCAGATCATTTATAGTATGTCATCTTTGGACCCATACATCAGCTGATCATCCAAACAAACTAATAGTACCCTTTTAAATAATGCAAGCTATTACATTAAATCTAGAATCTCTGTTTAATGGGCCAATATCAATAGACTCAGCCTGACCAAAGTTTATGTTCCTCCCACCATTATCCTACACTCTTATAATCCATTCCCACACATGTTCCCCAGACCCCTACTTGTATAAATTAGAAAACCCAATAAGTTCCTTCAGAGTTTAGGGTACCTCCTTGGGGGTCACACTCTGTACCTCACCTCTAGGGTCTGCTTAGATTTGGATCCAGTTATAGGCCAGGAGGAAAAAGTGGGTGGTGAATGTGGGTCCTAAGGAGTATGAATATCTTCATGCTGAGCAAGTGAATCACAGAAGGTTTTTACTGTTTCCAGAAGCAAAGCAGGTCTAGTTCCCTCCAGTGAGGGTGGAGAAACCAATGCCACACAGGGTGTGGGAGGGATGTCTCAGTTGTGGCTAAAGTGGGGGCTCAACAACTTCTGGTAAAGTAAACCCATCAGAGTATGGGAGATGAGTAACCCCAGCCACTTCAGCCTCCTTCTATATATCACCATCTAAATTTGCAGAATCCCATTCTTTTCCAAGCAGTGCCCTCACTTTAACTGCAGACACCTTCCAAGGCTAAGAGTTAAACTTCTGCTTAATTCAGCCAATTGCAGGATTAGGGTTTGTGTTTGGTTTTCAGCAACCTCAGCCCTATGACTATAAGACAGAGAGTCTCCTTCAGAAAACACTTAACAGCTTTCAGATCAGT